GCTTCATATACAGTCACCCCCTGGTGTGACTGTATTTATTTTTAATCATGCAGAGCAAATTAACCAGCCTATGGAGCTTTAAAATGACAGAAATCTCCTTACTCGAAGGTACGGCAATGGCAGTGTTTATCGAGCCAAGCGGAGGAGCAGTACTGAAATGGTAAATTAGCCTCAGCTTCATTTCTCCTGCAGTGAGCGCTCCACTTGACAGTGAATGTGTTTCCATAGGAACATGGTGTTACTTTGAGCCCTCAATGTTCCTGCATGTTTTTTTTTTTCCTTTTCTTTTCTTATCTTTCCTGTTCGGTTTCCTCTGCACTCATCAGGCAGAGGCAGAAGGAGAAAGGGGTTTGGAAATGAAATCAATAGGGCCATTTAATAAGCAGCAGGGCACTCATTTTTCTTGTTCCTTTGGCATGTCTCAAAAGCACGCTCGGGTCTCCTCTCCCTGAGATCTTTGTTAGTCAAGATGTCTTTTTATTAGAGCCTGCAAGGATGTGCAGCTCCTGCTTTTATCTGCATCCGCTTTAAATTGTATCAGCTGAAACATTACAGCAGATACTTCCAGGATAATTAGTTAAGACTGCAGAGTTGCTGAAAATCCTCATGAGAGACGGCAGAGACGCTTCTCTAGCTGAACATTATAGTGGGATTTCTCTGCTTTTCATTAAAGACGGTTTGCTCAGTCGTTCTGCAAAATTTTGTAGGACTATTTAGGGGTAACATTAACAGAGCAGATGTGTTAGAGAAAACCCTATTTGAAAGCAGGAGAGCAGATTAGGATCGGCGATGATTTGCAGTGGTGTCCTTGCAGGCTCCTCTTCACCTGACTAGATGTTTTACGAGCTTTAGTCAGAAAAAGGAGGCAGACTTATAATACAGCTGACAGAAACCTTTCTACAGTGGATGGGCAGAGGAGGAATGTGTGTGTGTGTGGGGAGGTGTAATAAAGCTGAGTGCATCTCCTCCTGGAATGAGGCTGCAGGGATTGGGAGGAGGGCAGGGGAGTAAGGGAAGGCTGGGAGAGCGTGTTCACATATTGTTTATGAGAGGGAGGCAGACGTGTCCGTGTTGGAAATAACTCTGCTTCTTCAAACCAAGAGGTGCTTCCCTTGCAGGAGGTGAGGAAAGAATAAAACTCTGCACCACATCAACTAAAAATACCCAATTATACAGGCTCCTTTTTTCCTGTAGTCTGTTGAGGCGTGTTTTTGAATCCACCGTAAGCTGTTTTAAATACTTACTGATGAGCTATTATACAGTATAGTTTGGTGAAATGACACTTCATTATCAAGACTGGAATGAAAAGACACTCAAGACAGTGAAGATCATGTTTCCATCTTCTCTCATTATTTCTCTCACAGCAGCATTTCTCCTTCAGATGCTGCTGATTGTTACATCTTCGCTGCAAAGGCTTGACTGGTTATTTGTTATATATTGGAAAGAAGGTTGAAATGGCTGACCTTTTTCTTTAAAAGAAGTCTTCAGTGTGTCACAATTAAATTTTATGTTTCAAACCTGCACAAACTAGTGCAAATCCCAGAGATGTTCCAGGAGAAAAAAAAAACACATGATAATAAGAACAAAACAATAAAATCCATGTTTTTAGCTGTCAACCACATGTTACTACTTTTACAGCTGCAAGCCTTTACTGTTTATGTTCCATGCTGGTTTGCTTTAAGTTTGACACTTATATTTGTTTATCTAAGACTAATGGGTTTTGCCAATTTTTATTCACATTTTAGTATAGTCATGATCAGATTGAATAAAGAACATACATTTTTAATTGAAACTGTAGATCCACAATTGATTTAAGGTTTGAATTTTAACTCAACTGCTCTGAAGCATGGCTTCATGTCAGAATCAAGTCCTCAAGGGCCAACATCCTGCACCTGCTTTAACACACCTGATAAGTAGGTATTTTGCAAAACTCAGGAGAACTTAGCAGGAAACAGGAGAACTTGTCTTCAGCTAAATAATTAAGCCATATATCAAATGTATATTCTAGCATTTTGAAATTAAAAGAGAAACTATAGGTAGAGCTTAAAGATATTTTCACTGCAGCTGAAAACAGGCGCTCAGTAAAGAAAGATGATTTATAAAAAAAAGTAGAAACAACGTTCAGTATTTGTCAGCAAATGGGAGGGAGTTGGCTAAAGGAAAAGAATAAACATTTGCACGTCAGTAGTACAAAACAAAGGTACAGAGGTTAGTAAAAGAGAAACTGGTTTGTGTGGTTAATAAGTGGATAACAGGAGACAGATGAATACAGAATGTGTGACATCGCTATTGGGAGTAATAAATAAGTATAAATATATTGTTTTCATATTCAAAGCTTTTCTGATGCAAAATAAAAAACTTATGTATCTCCTTATTTCATCAATCAGTTTTTTTTCTCTCGATTGTCTGCTTTTTAAGCAAACATTAAAACAAAGGGACTATATTTCTAGGACTGCATAGTTATTTTTTGTTAATTATGATGTTAATAATAAAGGATTAGCTGCTCTATTTTATTTTTTTCCCCTTTTTTTTCCCTGGGAGGGTTTACAGCTGCCGGCTGCTGATGGCCCTTTGTTATCTGTTCTAAAATTCAGGGTGGTAAGCTGTGATGACTTTAACACTAAAGGAACGTAATTTTGAGCAATTTATACAAAGTGCTTGAAAGTTAGGTAAAGAGAAGCAACAATGCAGAACACAATAGAATACCTCCTTCCACTTGAGTCTGAAGAGGGAACTCGGATGTTGGAAAAACATTCCTCCCAAACATTTTCTCTAGTTTCCTCACAAATATTTATGCAATCTCAGTGTATAGGGATGGATGCATGAAACTGAATCTGACAAACTGAAGCTAAGTAGCATCAGCTGCCACATCAGATCACTGCACTATTTTATCAAAATGATGTGGATTTGTTCTTGCAAGGAAACATTTTCATTAGAAGTTCCCTCTTACATATTTATTCTAGTCTTTAATAAAGGCATAATTTTAAGTTTTGGGGAAAATGAAATGAAAACTACATTGATTGCTTACATACAGAACTGTGGTCCATTAAACCCTTGAAGAATTTTCTATTGAACATGTATTTACCGAAGTCTGACTGGAGAGACTCCCTGACAAACTCATGATAACATCTGGTGCATGCAGAGTTTCAGCGTTTTTCACGTCTGCTCCATTGTTTCTTCTCCAATCTCGTTTTTTAATCAATTGCTTCATAAAATACAACCTCCAATGAGCCTTTCTTTTTTTTTGTAATGAAATCTCAATGGGTGGCCATCCATATCGAAGTACTCTGAGCTGACACTGAGCTAATTAAACTAATCTGAGCTCAGAGAATTACATTAGGAATCAACTTGGGTTGCAGAAACAGAGTAAATTAGTTAATTATTAGCAACACAGCAGTTTCCTTTTTTTGGTTCAATGAGCACCACAAGAGTCATTAAAATGAACTTTAATTGTTTTTCATTTTTGATGTAGTAAAGATGGATAAGCCCAAATCATCCAGCTGTGGAAATATTTAAAGTTTCCACTGGAGACTGAGATGCATCAAAGTCCTAGAAAAATGAACAAAAGCGTTAACGTTTTGTATTATTAAAAGTTTCAAACAAACATTTGTGATAATTCACAAAAAGTCTGTACATATGGAAAACTTTGACTTACTTTTATCTATCTATTTTTTTTTTTTTTCAAACAGCCACAATGTAAAAAAGGAACAGAATTAGGTCCAGATTTTAACTAGGCCACTAAAAACCCTTTTAATTTACCTTTTGAGTCATTCACAGATGAACTTGCTGCTCTGCTTTGGATCATTGTCCTCCTGTATTACTACATTCGTCTGTAGGGTTTTATGTTAGAGAAAAAGATTACCTGGCACCAATAACAAGCCTTACTGGACTTAAAGAATAATAATAATTAAACTCTGTTAATCTCACAATGCAGAAATCCACCCTCTGCATTTAACCCATCCCCCTGGGGAGCAGTGGGCTGCGACTGTGCAGCACCCGGGGAGCAGCGTGTGGTTAAGGGTGTTGCTCAGGGAGCCAGAGTGGAGGCTCTGGGGATTGAACCGGATACTTGCAACTTTCTCAGAGCACACTGCGCCAACCACTAGGTCAACACTCCCCCATCCTGAGATACCTGAGCCAGCAAGTACAACTTTACGCTTTATTGTTAGTATAATGTTCTTCTTTAGAAAAAAAAAATGCTGAGGGTTTTATGTCATATTCTACTCAGTAAGGTTAACTTTTGTCCTATCAGATCACAAACTGTTTTCATGGAATCCACTGGAGATTGGTAGTCTTTAAAACTGATCATATAAAAGGAAAGTGAGGTCTGCAGAGCTTTAGATGTTTAATTGGGATATTATGATTTCCTGCAGTCCCAAAGCTTTAAAAATAGTTTTTCAGAGGCCGGTGTGTGATAAACGAGTATGGCCAGCACTATGTTTACGGAGGCTATCAGTCCTTCTAGGACCCATCCAGGGTTTGATTCCCAATCCTGCAACATTTGTTGCATGTTTCCCCCGCTTCTTTCTCTGCATGTTTTTGCCTGAATACTACAAATAAGCGGCATCTAGTGCCACAAAAAACTATTTTTTAAAACAGAAATGGTTTTCTTAAACATTTCCATACTGACAGATATGTGTCATGTTGATTCTTGTCTGTTGTTTAACCTGTGGATCAGGGCATGATGTGTTACTTTTTCAGATCATTCAGTCTGCTTCATGTTATCAAACAGGTTTTGGGGGGAAATACATTTTGTTTCCATCAGCCTGATATTAAAAATGGCAGATAAAATTAAATTTAGCTTTTTAAAAATATGGTTAATAATTTATGGTTGTGATATCACATATGTAGGTTATCCTTAACTAATATCTAAAGTAATTTTATTATTTAATATGAAGAAATTTGTATGGCTATATTTTCCACAGCACTGATCCATGTGCAGAAATCATGTGTTGAATTTTCAAATCTAAATGTTTGTGGCTTTGCTCTTTTTTTTACAGATTTCAACATCCATGTTAGACAGCTGTATGAAGACTTAAACAGCTCCTCATCTCTCCTGAATGAGAAACTTCTTAAAGGAATGGGGTGCATTTGTCACACGGAATAGTTTGCCTACTGATGAGCTAAACCCAAGCCATAAATCAGCATCTGAGGACCTTTTTCTCATCACCATTTCCTACAGCAACTAAAAGAAGAACAGGAATGTTTGGAAGCCAAGGTGCACTGGGATTCTATTACTGTCGCTTTATTGTTTTCACAGTTCAGATTTCCAATCTATTAACAGCATCAATGTGAGAAATTGTCTTCATCCTACAGAAAGTCTCCAACTGAGCGAAACAAACAACTGGCTTGATGCCACAGCACCTAGAAAACTTTTTTTAATGTTTTGCTGTAGCTATTTATTCATTTCTAATCCATTCTCCTTTCCTGTCTGAGCCCTTTTTCAAACCTCAACCTCATTAATAACTTTAAGCATTACTTTTTTTGGTTAGTACTGTTGTATGAGAGCAAACTTTCTGAACGCTGATGCGATTCGGTCACATGAGACGGGCCAAATGGGACCAACACTGAACAGTCATGTTTGACACAAACTGTTTTTGACATCAGGAAAACATCTTCTTCAATAATCCAACACAACCCCGGGCATCTGACAGCCTTCAGGAGCTGCTGCCACCAGGATAAATCTGGGCATGTGCTGTTGTCCTTTGGACCCAGCGTCATAACAAGAGAAAAATTAAAGAATAGGATTAAACATGGATTATCACTGAAACAGTAAAGCCATCAAAGCAGCTGCCTTTGTATAAACCCATTGAAGGCTCTTAGGGCAAGCGCTCTGCCAACCGATTTGTAGATTACATCCGCCTGTTGATGTGGTGGCCTCCTGTGCACTTGCTTTTTAAAAAGACGGATGGAGAATATAGATGAGCTGGAGCACCCTCTTCTGGGAGAAAGCACCAGTAACAAACAAGCATCAGGGCAGGGAACTGGACTGGGACAGGCCCCAGTTGGGCTTTTTAAGGGCATTTTGGTGAAGTGTGAGGAGGACAGAGCATATCCTCCTTTGGCTTGGAGGGGTTATTGTGGACATCCTCCAGAGCTGCAGCATCAGCAGCTGCTGGACCCTTGCTCCTTACCCCGCACCCTGGAGTCCTTTTACCCAACGGGCCCCCTGTGGGGCCAAACAGACCTTCTCAGCAAGGACTATCTTGAGACCACCTTTGTGGACATTCGGCCTGGCTCAGCGCTGGAGAGGAAGCTGCTGGCTGAGACACAGGACTTCCATAGTGCTGCATACAGCATGGATGATGAGGACGACCTACTTCCTGACTCTGATGTAAGAAAAGGCCTCATGAAATCACAGAATGGTTGAATCTGTCCTAACAATTGAGAAAAAAAAAACATAATGAGAATACAACTATTTAAACATAGACAAGATAAATACTGGTTTAAATCAAGTAAATCAACTTCAAGATAAACTTAAGTATTTGGAGAGCTAATTTATTTCATTTTTTGTCCCTGCATGCACATACCTTCCAGCCATCAATAAAAATCTCTCCAACAAATGATCCACTGCACCTTCAACAATAAAATATGCAAACAGGCTCAGGTCCCTTGCAAACATAAAATGGCATGTGGCATATCTCCCTGTAAAAAGGTGTATGTTTTGCAGAAAATCCTAAATAAATAAGTTAGGCAGCAAAAAAAAAAGTATTGAAAATAACATTAAAGAGGAAGAAAGAGAGGTGAAGAAACACCAGAAAAAATGCTTATTAGGGTTTATGATGATTCTGCTTTTGCTTTTGAAGCCGTATTGTGACTGAATTGCAGCGGTTAGTCAGAAATTTGGTTTATTATCCTTCTGACTGTGCCATCTTTTAACACAGCCGTCTTCTCCTTGACGTAACTTAAAAGGATTAAGGCATAATTAATAAAAGTTCAGAAAAACATCCATATGCTAACCTGTGTTTTTATAAACAAGTTATTTCTTGTTGCTTCTTAAATCTCTGTTACAGAAATAATAATGTGTTTTACCAGCATCACAAACCAGATTAAAACACACATTTTTAGCTTTTCTCCGTGAAATGCTGACATATAGCTCACTTTTTCCTTTCCCAACTTGTCTTACTGTATTTTTGTATGAAACCAGAAACCTTTATGCTCTCTGTAGAGCTACTGGAGGCTGAAGAGGAACCTAAAATAGGCATATGAGCAATGCATTCAAGGTAGGCAGCGATTCAGCTCTTTCTATCACAAAGCCAGGTTATATAAAGCTACTTTGATGCTTTAGCACAGGTACTAACACAGCTGAGATTGTATGAATTCCATATAATCTCTTTTGGAGCAAACAAAAAACAGAAATATGGTATCTTTAAGGCAAACAACAACCATATATAGTGACAATGTTCGTGTGTTACTGCTTAGCTACATTCCTGTATATATATATATATATATATATATATATATATATATATATATATATATATATATATATATATATATATATATATATAT